AACTTGAGCAAATATAACGATATTAGATTTCACTTACACAATAAATATATATTAAATTCAAAATTGTAAAATATAAATTAATTTGTAAATTACAAAAGAAATATATATATAAATTTGGAGATGCGGGGTTTCGATCCCCGAATGTCATACTCAAACCAAAAGGATAATACCATTGAGCTACATGTCCTTATGTTTAAATACCAAATGATTTTTTTCATATATGTATGTTAAGAATAAATTGAATATGGTAAATGTGATATAAGATTGAAAAAATAATGTCTTAAAAAATCAATAATTTTTTTAAGTTTTCAGCATTGTTTTTATTTTGCACTAAATGTATTTTGTGGTTTCTTTTTAATTTTCAGTAATAATTATTCAAAAGAAAATATAATGTTATTTAAAAAATTGATATATACGTTTATATAAATATATTTTCGATGTGAAATGTCAATCTGCGCATGTGATTTCAAAATCCTTTAAATTAAGCAATTACCTAACATATCTATGATACTCATATTATATCATTTAGCATACTTGTGAATAAGTATTACAAATAAAATCAAATAAACACAGTGAAAAATCCGAAAAAGTAATAAATAGAAAAGATGTAATCTGATCACTATGTGAAAAACTTGAGGAAATCTAACATTATTAGATTTTACTTACACAATAAATATATTAAATTTAAAATTGTAAAATATAAATTAATTTGTAAATTACAAAAAATATATATATATTTGGAGATGAGGGGTTTCGATCCCCGAATGTCATACATAAACTAGGAGGATAATACCATTGAGCTACATCTCCTTATGTTTAAATACCAAATGATTTTTTCATATATGTATGTTAAAAATAAATTGAATATGGTAAATGTGATATAAGATTAAAAAAATAATGTCTTAAAAAATCATTTTTTTTTTTAAGTTTTCAGCATTGTTTTTATTTTGCACTAAAATGTATTTTAGTGATTTCTTTTTAATTTTAAGTAATAACTATTCAAAATAAAATATAATGTTATATAAAAAAATGATATACACGTTTATATAAATATATTTTCGATTTTAAATGTCAACCGGCGCATGTGATTTCAAAATATTTTAAATTAAACAATTACCTAACATATCTATGATACTCAAATTATATCATTTAGCATACTGGTGAATAAGTATTACAAATAAAATGAAATAAACACATTGAAAAATCCGAAAATGTAATAAATAGAAAATATGTAATCTGATCACTATGTGAAAAACTTGAGCAAATATAACGATATTAGGTTTACTTACACAATAAATATATATTAAATTCAAAATTATAAAATATAAATTAATTTGTATATTACAAAAAAAATAATATATTTGGAGATGCGGGGTTTCGATCCACGAATGTCATACTCAAAGCAGGAGGATAATACCATTGAGCTACATATATTTATGTTTAAATACCAAATGATTTTTTCATATGTGAATGTTAAAAATAAATTGAATATGGTATATGTGATATAAGATTAAAAAAATAATGTCATAAAAATGAATCATTTTTTTAAGTTTTCAGCATCGTTTTTATTTTGCACTAAAATGTATTTTAGTTTTCTTTTTAATTTTAAGTAATAATTATTCAAAAGAAAATATAATGTTATATAAAAAATTGATATATACGTTTATATAAATATATTTTTGATGTGAAATGTCAATCTGCGCATGTGATTTCAAAATCCTTTAAATTAAACAATTACCTAACATATCTACTATACTTATATTATATCATTTAGCATACTTGTGAATAAATATTACAAATAAAATCAAATAAACATAGTGAAAAATCCGAAAAATTAATAAATAGAAAAGATGTAATCTGATCAGTATGTGAAAAACTTGAGGAAATATAACATTATTAGATTTTACTTACACAATAAATTTATTAAATTCAAAATTGTAAAATATAAATTAATTTGTAAATTACAAAAAATAATATATATTAGGAGATGCGGGGTTTCGATCCCCGAATGTCATACTCAAACCAGGAGGATAATACCATTGTGCTACATCTCCTTATGTTTAAATACCAAATGATTTTTTCATATATATATGTTAAGAATAAATTGAATATGGTAAATGTGATATAAGATTAAAAAAATAATGTCTAAAAAAATCAATCGTTTTTTTAAGTTTTCAGCATTGTTTTTATTTTGCACTAAAATGTATTTTGGGGCATTCTATTATCAGATTTGCCTCGTACCAGCTTCGTACCTACCTAACATTAGGTTCCCCTTTAAAATCCTGTCACATGTCCTCTTAATTAATTAATGACGAAAATAATAAAAAAAGAAGCTAGTGTAAGTACTTAAGTACCCTTAATTTAAAAATATTTTAAACTAGGGTGTTTAACTATTACTTTATTTTTATTCTACCCTAATTACATTTACATATTCCAATTAGGCCACGAATTGAAAATAAATTGCATTCTATCTTGAACTGAAAAAATCGATCATCTTTCTTCCCCGTCGTTGAGAAAAAAAACTTTGAATGCTTCAGTCGGAATCGTGAAATCAGAATTTATGATGAGTTCATCTTCATATAATGTTTAGGTTATTAATTTATGAATTCAAATGTCCGCATGTTCTTTTCCATTATTGAGTTCAGGTTATTAATTTCTGAATTCAGGTTATCCCGTCGATTTGATGAAATATCGAATCTACTTTTTCATTAATGTTTTGTGATTTTTATTTGAGCGTGTTAAAAAACTAAATATTGAGGTAAATTTTTTGAATGACAATCGCATTCTGTATTGCTATATGTCTTCGAAAATTGATGTGCTGCGATTCCTTCCTCTGGTTATGCAAAATAATATGGCGAGCAAATAAATATTTAATGTGAGGTTGCGGTTGATTTAAGTGAATACATTTTTGTATTTGTTCTTTTAATTAGTAGGCCCTTTACATGGTCGACGAAATGTATGAATGAGGATGACGACCTTGTTACTAAGAGAATTTGGAAAATTTCTGGCCTTTGTTGGGACGGTTTGCAAGATAAAGAAGATGACTTTAGGAAATGGTGGGTTGCTCTGATGTTGATGGATAGAGGAAATTGTAGAGAAGAGAGAATTGAGCTGACTACTTACTTGTTATGGTGGCTGTGGTGTACACGAAACAATTGGGTCTTTCAAAGAATATGGCTTGATGAAAAGAAGGTAGCAGATGGGGCAATAAAGTATTGGATAGAATATACCACTGTTAATGAAAGGGAGGAAGGAGCAGAGGAGTATTTGGATAAGCTTAAGGAGAATGACTGCAAAGGTAAGGCAAAGCTTTGTGCCAGTGCTGGTAGCTGTCACTACTTCAGTTGGAAATGGAAGAATGGAAGTCTTAGTTCAAGATTTTTGTTCTTCTGGTTTGTAATTAATTAGATATAATTGTAGCTTGGTAGCTTTTTGGGCGCCTTTTTTTATGTATTGTTTAGTCTTTTTTGCTGTTTGTGTGTTGAATAGGGATTGCTGGTAATGGTAATCCCCCCCCAAGCTTTTGTATTGTATTTTGTGGTGGGTCTGTTATGAGTCCAATCTTTGATTGGGTTTGTACATTGTTTTGAGGTGGTAATAAAATTTATACGTTTAGAAAAAAAAAAAAAAGAGGATGATGACCCTGTTGTTATATCTTGTTGTGTTGGTGTTGTGCAATGATTTGAGCTCTTTGTTCAAGAAACTCATTTTTTGTTCAAGAAACTCTCGTTTTTTATTCAAGAAACTTGTTTTGGTTCAAGAAATTGTTTTTTGTTCAAGAAATAGCTTATTGGTCAAGAAACAGGTTTCACACATACTTTTGCACAATTCAGTTCATATATTTGCACACCAGCTAAATGAGCCAAAAATTCAGTTCATATATTTGCACAATTCCAAAATGGACAGAGTACAGAACAGTATACACACAGAAACATGATACAAAAACTAAAATGCAATAGAATATGAACTCCAACTCTTATGTAACCATCGTCTACAGTTAGACTTTGTGCAAGAATATGATCTTTCAAATGATGGCCGATTCAAGGAAAAAAAAAACCCCGACAATAACATATGCTCTAAAATTTCCAACACGAACAGCTGCTCTAAAAAACAAACTATAAGAGACCAAAGCTTCAGCATCTAAAAAGGCTGTTGCTCGATTGACTTTGTGAAGATACTAAAAAGGTTGTATTTGCTTCGTTATCTTCCACCCCGATTGACTGTCTGGAGAACATCTGAATAAAATTCCCAAGACGAACTAGTTTCAGTTATAGCACTTTGACCAAAAGGATGTTGCTCAACATATTTCTGCACATTTTCGTAAGTCAACAATCCTTCCAAAAAGACCCGAAGGTCACCTTTTGGGCCTGCAACAAAATTCAACAAAATAAGTCTGTATTTTAATGTGAGGGAACCGTTTGGTAAAAAAATAACCACGAAAAGAAAAGAACAAACAAATATATAACAACAAAAATACACCAAGAACAGTACCTAAGGAATTGTCACTTTTATTATCCTTGTAACTGTATGACTTGGGGAATATTGCCGTGTGCAACTATAGGGAATTTGAAAAACAAACAGTTAGGACATAACTGAAAAAAAGTAAACACACACAAGAAATTTACAGGTACGAAGGTACGAATCTTACTGGATTGAGTAATGCCTTATACGGAGAATCATCCAACAATAATGTGTTTGTTTCATTATATTGTCCCTTTTTCCAACGTAAATTTGGACCATCACTTTCCCAGATTTTCCTGATGTCCTTCAAAACCAATGGTTTATTATAGTTTTCAAGAGCCAGTTTCAGTGCTATGAGACATATCCTGCAGTAAACCATATGTTTTTGTATCACAAACTACAAACTACTAAAAACTGTTTTTGTACCATGACATATGGAAGTTTTGAGAGAGCCGCTTACCCAACAAAACAACAAGTGTTCTTGTAGATCGCCTAATAAAAATTCAACAAGTAGGTCAATAAGTTTCCTACATTTCAAATATATAGTCCGAAGTCAGCATGACAATTCAGGAATTGGATTCAATTTCTATAATATTAGTAGATTCTGTCGAAGAAACAAGAATGAAATTAGTACGAAACAAATGCCAGAATCAACACATTTTTTAGATAGAGATATAGAGAGGAAAGTAGCTTAAAACATACTTTGACCTTGACGACCATATGCCAACATCAAAGTTCTGAAAACAAAACTTCAAAAAATCATCACAGTATGGTCTCTTGAAAACTACATATACCAAAAAGAAGGGTGAGGTCAAAATAAACCCGGTAGTTGGACTTTTCGAATATCTTAGATATAATAAATAAAAGTAACATTAATAAATCAAAGACAAATTCAACTCATCATCTAATCTCACCTTGTCGGCCATAAATATGTGCGTCTCCCCGACAGCCTGCCGGGGCTGAATATAATATGTCCGCAAGAAGTCCATTCACATCAAGGACAAGAAGCTTTCTCTGACTAGAATGAACCTGCCCAACGTCAAATCTAGAAAAGCAAACAACCATTTTTACCTACTATGATATATTAACTCTGGATTAATCTCTTATTATCAAACTTACATGAAACCATGCTCCTCAGACAGAGGATTTGTTAGGATGAGTGCTGCCATACGTGCTCTGAAGCCATCGACTGAACAATTATATTGGGCCATCTGATATTCTGTAGTATCCACGGCGTAACTCTCCATTTCCAAGCACACGTGGACTCCACAGTCCTTATTCCCGGTCTGCGGCCTTTCGTTTCCATAAAAAAAAATGTTGGCTCTCATCAATTTCAAATTTAGCTTTCAAATTCAAATACCCCGCGAAGAACTTGGCCTAACAAAAAAAAAAATAAACCAACAAAATACATGAATAGCTTATTTGAAATAAAAATAAAAATAAATACAAAACAAAGTTTAATATGTCATAACACTTACCAAACTTTTCCCAGCTCCTTGGTAAATGGCACTATCCAACGAGTTATGATATATAAATTTCTTTTGTTTAACGTCTAAGACGACCAAGAAAAAGTGAAATTTCTTGTGCATGGAGAAGAACACAAACTTAGCAGTAGAGATGTCCCCAATGAGCTCATCTAGCATGGCAACAGTACTTCTACTCATCTTAGAAGTACACAACTCATAGTCTTCATCGCACCAATTTCTAGTTTTCATTTTTTGCACGGCATCCAAAACATTAATCTACAAAATAAATAATATTTTTTTTAGTAAATTCAGAAAATTAATTTTAGAAAATTAATAATAGTAAAAAAATTGTTAAAGTACCTGAACATAGGTAGACAAGAATCGAACATGTGGATGGCGAGCGCGCAAGATCATCATAAAGCAATCGATGAGATCGGAACTCAACTCATTCCCGAACAACAGATCAATCATCGACTTTCCTCGGATTTCCACTCGATCGTTGCTCCATACAATTTTGCTACTAAAATTTGCAATTCTTATTAGTATAATATAAGAAAAATGTAACAATTAAGAAAATGAGAGAATTTCTGTTACCTCAGGTCTTCGCTAGTCAGGAATGATCGTATGGATGCACGAACGTCTTCCTGCACGAACTCGTGTCCACAAAAGTCTTCCCTTCCTCTGAAGTCATTCAGAGAAGAATCCTCAGCATCATTGTCCTACATTACGAAATAATAATTGGTTAGTTATATGACAACATCACGAACAATCATTCAATCTTTGCATATATAATTTGATAGTGTACTTACGTCATCACTAGTCACGTCTAACAGCTGCAAGTTTATCTCTTTCTTCCGTCTCGTCGGACTGGATGACAGGGGAGGCATAAAATCTACCAACCTTTCCCTTTTGTCATCTTCTTTCTCAACCTCGTTCTCCTTCTCTACTTCCTTCACCTCATTCTTTTTTTCCTCTTCGTTCTCCTCTTTCTCAGCCTCATTATCAACCACCTAAGAGTTTTCAAAAATAAAATAATTGTTTTTAGGAGAAAATTTACAGGCATTGTAACTTGGAACAAAAATATTCGTTTGAAAATAAAAAAAAACATTATTTTGATAGTGAAAAAGTTCATAACTGCACAAATATGAAACGGAACATGTCAAAACGTTACCTCGGTAGCAACCACGTGAGATGTCTGCACCACCAAAGAAGACTTCTCATTAACAGCAAAAGCCTAAAAAGTTTTTGGAACAAAGGATATTATTTTTACGAGAACCAAATTTGTAAGTATGGAATAATGTACAAATGTCAAAAGGAACAAGTGAAATACAACTGTGAAAAAAATTACCTCATTAACCTCGGCCTGAGAAAACATCTCCACAACCTCCGGCGACTGCTCCTGAACATGAACCTCCTCCTCATCAACCGCCTAAGATTTTTTCGAACGAAAGATTTTAGTTACCGGATAACAAAACATTACGTTTGTGCAAATGAAATGACGAAAAATTTACCTCGTCATGTTGCTTTGACCTGCCATCTCCTTGAGTTGTGTTGCCAGCTCTAGAAATGCAATATTCATTTAATCTCTCAAACACATCCCCAAATGCCCGATTAATGGCATCGGGGACAAGCTGACTCAAACTCCTTTCAACTATCGAAGGAACCAACTCTTTTAGACAGTTGGAAACTTCCTCCTTGACCCATGCCTTAATGTCATCTTTGTCAAATGCTGTACTGGTGCTTTCCCTCTTCTCTCGTTTTGGCTCCACGGGTTCCGGTTATTCCTCATCATTTGTTGTCTCAACTTCACGAGACTTCTTCAAAGACTTTCCCATAATGGATCCAGCCTTTCTCTTCTTCAAAGACTCACCAAGATATTCTATGGATGACGCGAACCTGCTGCATTGGACCAAACTCAAGACAATAGTGAAAATCAATAACAACATGCAATCAAGTCAGCGCCGTGAACTTGAAAAAATTGGATTTGGGACTTTTCCTCGTCTTACTGTGTTCCAAATTGATTCTAAATTAGTGAGTATGCTTATTAAAAATTATGACACGAAATCTCGGAGTATTAACGTTGGTGGTGTTTCAATACCGCTATCACCAGAAGTTGTTGAGTCATATTTTGGTTTGTCGAGGCACGGTATGATATTTCCGAAGAATGTTGATGTGGGTTAAAAGAAGCACACAAGTTTGTTTGCTGATGAAAAAGGAAACCTCATGGGGTATTTTGAGCTAAAGGAATATGTTTCCAACTGCAAGACAACCGGACCTGAATTTGTCGTACCCTATTTGATGCTACTGTTTGCGACAGTGTTGTTTCCACGAACTAAGGATAAGTTGTCTACAGATTTTGAATTTCTGGACTACTTGGATGATTTGAATGCAGTACAAGACTACAATTGGTGTGAAATAATTCTACGTAGGGTTGATGCAGGCGCAACCGCAGTCCAATCCTACAAACACTCATATGTCACGGGTTGCATTTTATTGTTGCAGGTAATTTTTTATTTTTTTTTGCACTAGTGTATTATGTTAATATTTATACATATATCTTTGAAATTTAATTTTAAACAACAACAGGTTGTTTTTCTTGGTTATGTTACGACACTTTTCCCTTGCAAACAATTGCACTCTGGATCCCCATATTTAGAGCAGTGGACCTAGCAAGACATGAATAGAACCATTACAATGTTTAAAGAAATGGGCGGCTATGAAGAAAAATTTGTAAGTATCTGACGTCAACTATTTGTTATTTAATTTGGGTTAATGACGTAATTATTGTAATAATTCATATATGTTTATATTTAATAAAATAAGATAATTTTAAAATGGGAATGAGTTGTTTATGCAGAATTGGAAATTTCGTCATCAGTTGGATGAAATGACGAATGATGGGGCTGTGTCAAAGGATAATGAGCCAAAAGAGTCAACTATCAAAGCTGATTTAACAGACGAGATCATTGAGCAACTAACCTTAGTTAGTCAGGGGGTGTCCGCTATAATCAACTTGCTGAAAGACAATAAGCCAAGAGTAGATGCAATTCGAGATGATGGAAACATTTCCGAATCAGTCAAAGGAGAAAATTATAAAAAAGAATCGCTGAAAGACCATAAGCGAAGAGAAGATGGTATTCGAGAAGATGGAAACATTTTCGAATCAGTCAAAGAACAAAGTGATAAAAAAAAATCTCTGTTCGAACAATATATGGCTGTAAGAGATGACATGCGTAAACGAAATGAGAAAAAAGAAAAGGAGAAATTTACGGCTGCAAAAGAGTCACTGCCTAAACAGAATAATCATCCAACATGGTTGGATCAACCAACATGGTTTGATCAACCAATCGAACCTAACAAGTTGGATTTTGATGCATTGTCAGAAGGAATATGCAATCCAGAACCAACCACCAGCACGGGACATGAACCAACCTCCAGTGATGAACAAGAACCAACCTCCAGTGATGAAGAAGAACCAACCGCCAGCAAGGGAATAGAAACAACCTGCAGCAAGGGAAGAGACATGTTCGAATATTTTAGAGATATTACAGTTCTTGATGAAGAAGTGCCAGATTATGTTTTCAACGCTAACTTGGATTAAGGGTAAGATAACGAAACCATGGGAAATTAATGATTTTTTATAAAAAAAAAAACATATAAAATCCTTACACTTGGGTTGCCAATTGTATAGTAATTGCACAATTGTCTATGAACTATTTTGTTCAGGAAGATGTTGATCAATTATGACGGATGGATGGCGTCGAGGGCTGAGTTATAAGTGCTGAATACCCGAACTGGTTTTCATCTCCTGTGAGATAATATGAAAAATGAATTAACTATAATTATATTCGTTTTTTACTTTTACTTCTCCCTTTATTGAGTCAATCCTTCCTTTTGTAGGTCATTGATTTTGTCGCTATACATATAGCAGTGAATCCTATTTATGAAGCAATGGATCCGCCCAAGAAAGTTCCTAGAAAACGCCATTGGGTTTTACCGGCAACATTCAGCGTGAGACACTTAAATAATATTAACTTCCTAAAATAATACCATATATTCAATGAAACATTATCTGAAATGCAGGGAATGGTTATGTCATCGCTCAGTGACAAATCAATTCAATCTATGTGTTTCCGACATAAAATATTTACTGATCGTGCGGACAAATGTTTAAGTATAACGATCCCTATATCGGATTCGAATATGCACTGGTTCATATGCGTTGTTGATATTACAAGATCCGTTATACGCATCTGCGATACCTTAATTTTGGGACGGACAAATGAGGGGAGGTTGGAAAAAGCTAAACATGTGGTAA